TGTTAAAAAGAAATATGAAGAGAGGAACTGGGAGTAGTACCTATTAGATAAATAGAATCCCTGCAGAGAAAATCCTTTTAAACCCGATCACCTGCAGCTGGGTATACTATTTAATTTTCACCTTCCTAAAGCTATCCAAGAATGTTCAAGGAACTTATCTCATAGACTTACTGCCCATAGATTGTTTCAGCTATCGGTACTTACTGCTGTTTTGGCTGCCTTCCTAGAATAAGTAACTGTTGAAGTGATCTATTACTGGATTGGAATGAGGCCTTTTTAAAAACTTGCAGGAAGAGACACCAGGTACTACGGGGAAACAAGTGGACACCTTATACACTTTGCAACTTCTGGTGGTCATTATAACACCAACCAGATGATTGTTGCACCATGATGCCTTTTTTGAAAATCACAATCCCAATGTTCACTGGATCAGCATGTGAAACGGTTTCTCATTGGAAACAGCGCTTTTACAGATTATGGCACCAGATACCATATTAATTCTATTCAACCACCCTTACATGGGGTTGAACTGATATCTTGTAATTTGACCTGTGCAGTGTTAACCACTACACTATTGACCCACTGGTCATAATTTTTAATTAATTGTATTATTAAATTTTAATATAATTTAAAATTTAAAATTTCTTTTGAAAAAATCAAGAATTATTTAAATAATTAAATAGTTTAAAAATTCAAAATATTATAATTTAACTTAAAGAAAAAATTTAAAAATTATAATTAAAATAAAATTTTGAAAATTATTTTTTTTAAATTATAATATAAAATAAAATTGTTATATTATAATCTATTATATATAATAAATATTAAAATATTAAAATATTAAATATAATTTTACTTTGTAAATGACTTGTGGATCTATAGTGTAGTGGTTAACATGCCACAGGTCAAATCACAAGATACCAGTTCAACCCCATGTGAAGGTGTTTGAATAAGAATTAATACAGTATCTGGCGCCATAACCTGTTAAGTGCTGTTTCTCATAAAAAGCCATTTCACACACTGATTCAGCAGGTGTTGAGATTGTGATTTTCAGAAAAAGGTGTTGTGACATGATGATTATCCAGTTGGTGTTATGATGATCATTGTCAAGTTTGGTGCAATCCCCAGTTTCATAAAATAGGCCGTTTCTCCTTCCTATAGTCCACAAGACTATAAAAGAAATATAATATGAAGGGTCACAAACTGGAAACTTTTCAGCAAGACTTTTTAACATGATCCCCCTTCTGCAAAAGTGATGACTCGCCAGCAATACCCACCATTCTTACTTGTAGTGAAGGTACCTAGTTGGTAACGATCATCAGAATAAAAGACTTCCCTTAAGACTTAACCTGACTTTAGAGGAGTTGCACCCTCTTAAATAAGCAGCTTATGCTTGAAGCCCAGTATTATCTAAAAAGGATTGGATCGTCAACCCCAGTTTAAAGGTATTGAAACAACCCCTGGACATAGGTTCCATTCATTTTTCCAAATGGTAATCCTCCGAGGCCACATGTGCTAGGAAGAAAACTGGAAAAAGACAGAAATACAGTACTTCGATAGATAATTCGTATAGTGTTAAATAACTTTACTGAAAGGTTTACAAATTTGAGGCTGGAAGATGTAAAAGAAAATCTTAGGTGGCAGGCTACACCCAGATGGTTTACGCTTGTGGGTGGATTCTAATATATATAGGTATTTAGAATAGATTAACTTTGTATATACCTTGTATATAATGACCTATCTATTAATAAAAAATGCGGACTAGAATACAGTCTCACTTTAGCAGTAAAAAAAAAAACAAATAAATAAATACTTTAATAATGATAATTAAATCAAACAATAAAATCAAATAATAAAATATTTGAATAACAAAATTATTAAAATTCTCTACATGTTATTTAAATTAGTAATACAAGAATTATTTTAGAAATACAAGTATTGCAAAAAATAAATATTAATAAAATTGAATAAGAAATATCAAAAATCTTGGATAAATTTTAAAATTATAATATAAATATTATTTTTTAATAAACAAATTACAGTATTATAATCTCTTTTATTTAATCTTATTGATTTTAAAACTTTTCTAATTTTATATGTTTTTAAAAACTTTAATATATCATGTTGATTGTTTCAACTTAGTATTTCCTTGCTATTGGTTTTTTATTTTTATTTCTAAGGTAGCAATGAGATATAATATTAGATATTATTTAAATTATAATACTAAGATTATTTTAAAAGTACAAATACAAATATAACAAGAGTAAATACTAATAAAATTGAACAAGAGATAATAACAATATTGAATAAAAATCAAACACAACATCGATTAATGGTTTTATAAGATTAAATATGTATTTTTGAATATTTTTTTAAAATTGCCTAAACAAAAATTATTTTTTTTTGAGTTTTGGATACTTGATAAAAAGAGTTTTTATTTGATTTATTTGATTTTAACGAGATGCAATATTTATCAATTGAAATCATGCACTTTTTTACTTTCTAAAATAAACATTCTTAGAATTTTTTATCATACATTATTCATTCATTTACTTTGCTAAGGATTGTGGTCAAATTCTATAGAAACGATGGTAGGCTTCACGGAAGCTATTATTTGAAGCAAGACGCGAATACCTTTGATCATGTGATCGGACAAATTTGCAAGTCATGTGATTGCATAATTCATCCTTTTCAACAAAAACATGTTTTTTAGAACAATCTCATCAGATCACACCATTTCGACATACTGTAAAAGTCTTCGTGGTAATTTACAATGTATCGTGTTGACGTAAATTTCTTACAAGTTGTTACCGGAGGTACGGTATATCGAATTAATATGAAGACAATGTAGAGATTCGAGATTACCTCACGCGATTTGAAAAGATCAGGAAAACACAAGTGAATTGAAGGAAACACAACCCAACTCTGAAAGCCCGGTGCAAGTTCATTGATGATCTTCGAAAAGATCGCTAAATTTCGTAATTTGGAAATTTCTGGTGGTCAATGCGTTCTCATACGACATTATAACTAGTGGGAAATTTTAGGTAAGCCCGGTTGGTAGCGAATCGAGAATCTGCACTGCTCAACCTTTATTGTAATATAGAATTTACTCTACGTGAAGTCCATTCAATTACGTAATACGCGACTTTCTGATTCGCCAATTATGTAAGTGCAAAGACGGACATTTAGTAAAGAAAGATTGGCAGAAGATTACAGATCGTAGGCTAAACGATCCGCATAAAAACAATTGAATTAATACAACCGTTAAGAGAAGTAGCGTTGTGAGGGCTAAATTCATGCAAGAATACGTGCATCTTTGGCCTTATCAAGTATTCTCAATTGCTCATATCATCCATATTCCTTATCTGGCTCACAAAACTTTTTTCATGGCGCAGCGATTTCGTATTTGTAATTAACGAAAAAGGCAACTCCAAGGTGATCTTGACTAATTTTAACGCTTTTGCGGGGGATTCGAGATTGCCTAAATTGCTTAACTTTGCCAGCACAATGAACATACTATACTGTACATGCACATACACAGTATATCCACTATATCCACTATAGACTTTACACCGTCGTGTGGTGACCGGAGTGGCATGAATCTCTTGAGGTTTTCAATTCAGTATCGATTAATCGGATTGATATAGCGCACCAAGTTCTTTGTTCTACTTATATTCACAGACAGTTTATTTCCCCAAATCATTTGCAACTCGTTACATTCTTCACGGGATCAAGTTTTTTTTTTTTTTTACATACGTCACAATCGTCACCTTTTAACTTTAAGGATCGTGTTCTTTGTGAAGAAATCAAGAAATGAAATTGGCGCCTCAGGTTTTCTCTTACCTTTTACGAAAACAAGACCATCTAATCTCGTCAGTCTCGGGGGTACAGGAATTTCATCACAAAGAAAAGACGAAGAAGTTCTGTGAATGACTTCCTGCATTCATCACTCTATTACAATAAGGGAATATAATAAAATTGGCGGTGTGAAAATTCTGTCCAGAATAATATGAGAACCTGTAAACCTGAGTCCACTTTACATCTACCCCGGAATTGTCTGCATCTTTTCATCGCAACGGTGCATGCCGCTCCGATCTATACTCTCAGTGGAAAAAATTATGTGGACACAAGAAAAAAAAAATTTTTTTTTCTTCCACAGTTTCATCATCACTGATGTAGCAATTCTTTGCAGGCCTCATAAGAGAAAGAAGAATTCTAAGATGTCGCGTATATTAAAGAGAAAAAAAGTGATAAGAACTTCTGGAAGCAAGAAACTATCTATCTTGCATCTATTGATGAATACTTGCATTAGCATTGTTTTGTCACTCCCAAATCTAACTAATATATGATTATCGTCACAGGCCAATTCACGAAATATGAAAAAAAAAAAAAAAACTTGTATGATACGTGTTTCGGAAGAAATCGATTGAGGCAAACAAGCTACACGAACGATTAGGCTTTAGTGATCTGTGACACAACCGATGGAATTTATTTGGGTAATGATTTCAGTGATATAGAAAAAAAAAAAAAAAAGTGTCGCACTACCTGCAGTACCCGGAACGAAACAAATGATTGAGCGTCGTACAAAGAAAAAACATTTTTTTTGTTTCAACAGAGCCGACAGATCAATTGCGCGAGAACAAATGAATATGGAATGATTTCAGTGATAAGTTACAGGAAAAAAGCAGACGTTTGTCAGGTGAATGGATTCGATCTCGAGATCTTTATCTACGTAATCAACCATCCTTAGGCCAATCAGCGAGATTAAAGTGAGTAGACGTCACACATGCTCGATAATTGTGTACCTCGAGATGATAGAATTATGATGCCCCTCGCGTCTGTCTTTCAATCATGCAGAGAATTCTACGACTTCTTGAGGGTGATTTAATTGGAGATGATGTGTCGCGAACGACACGATCCGCAAAGGACAAGATCAAAAATAAACCAGGCGTGACATTGGGCGTAGCGTCATGAGATTAATAGTGTGTCATGAGTGCTGAATGGTATTATGGGGTATGCAAGTGAATGTTCGTGAGCATAGAATGCAAAGTAACATGGGCGATCTTGAATTCCCAGGTAACGAGTGTCATGGAGGAAACAAGACAATAATTGTTCGTGCGTAATTGACTTTACGTGACCGTATGATCAGAAAATCGTCTTCCGTGCACTCACATCAGACCATTGGTTGATCAAGGGAGATGGGAAAAAGTTCTATCTGGCGTGGTAATGAAATCTGCCTAATTGCCATATATGACCAATAGCGTACGTATATTTCCGGGAATCCTTGACACAGGTTACGTACGACGCTTAACCATGGATAAGCTTGTGTGATTTGAATTCTAAAATAGTAGTGTGGAGTGAGCGATATATACCTTCATGAAATAGTGTGCTGGGGACTCTGGTCGCACACCATCTGTTATTCAATTAAGATTCCTCCCCGTGTTGAGATTTTACGCATGATTTTTTATTCATGCCACTTGTCAATCGATCTCTCGTTCGGACATCGTCATTCTTTCTTACCCCTCACGCAATTGCGATATCATTGTCATCATTTTCTCAATGCTTCCACTTCTTGCATCGCACGTTCACTGATCGCCATGGATACGAGGCGAGGACCTTTTCTTTGTTCTGTTGACCTCCGACCATTCTTTTAATGGTTAATCAAAACGGAGGGACACACTTAAATGTTTATTAATTTTGATTAATAATAATTATTATTTTCGCAAGATGATAATGATTGGTGATGGTGGCCGTTGATTGACCTGATTCCGGGAATTCGGGAGGTTTTCTTTTTTAAGGCAATGACTTTTTTTTAAAACATTCTTGTTTAAAAGGAGAATCCACATTGCATTGAGCAGCAGTAAATTCGTGCAAGTCACAAAATTACAAACGACAAATTTGAGTAAATGACGTATTTTTTTTTTTTTTCTCGTAAAACCTTTTCCGTTAAAAATCGACATCGTACGTTCTTACATAGCATTTACGCACATGCGTTCTACGAACCCTTTCGAAACAAACAATGAGAGTAACGACAAAGGATGCAGAATCGATATCAAAAACGAATTAGTAATTAATTACTAAGGCAAAAGGGAGTTCTTTTTTTTTTTTTTGCGGGGATGCATCAGATTCTTTGCGTTCAGAATGAATTGAGAAGATAATTAACATCCGAAAAAGCTTTCATTCGTATCAATGGGAGTGTACGCCTTCTCCACTTTTTACATCATCTCAGACCTTGCATTGCCTTCACGTAATTCAAGTGAGGAGGTTGATGTATGCCAAGGAAACCAGGAAACCAGGAAAATTTTTTATTTATTTCACTTTATTTTTTATTTTTATTATTATTATATTTTTTATTTTATTTTTTTCTTCTCACTTTAACTAATCAATTGTCACCGAGTGTCAGATCGGCGCAATGGTAAAACGCGTGTCCCGTGAAGCAAAATATTTTTATACGCATGTACGTGCTTAATTACAAAATAATAATGTATGCATCTAAATTCAAATTCGTTACCCAACATTGCACCCTTAAATGTGATACCTGCCTAATCACACCATGATACTTTAACACAACATAGAGCGAGCGAAACGTAAGACAAAAGAAAGATTTTCAAATCAAACCGTTATGCAAGCTAAATAATTCCCTTGATGCTCAATACTGGTAAATGTATAAATATTTTTCGAGCGGGGATCGGCTTGTCTTAATATTTGAAACTCAACATACAACAATTCTTGTGTTTCAATGATAGAAAATTGTGAATGGTTTACTTTTTATTTCGCAAGAATTCTTTGCATGTTCGAATAACAATAGCAATGTATGAACAAACTTTTAGCCGAAAATCAATCTATCGGCAATTGATATCTATTTTTTTTTTTCATGCTATGTAGCTTCTTCGGCCATTATGCGGAGTAAAATTTTGAGATACGGTCAGATGTGCGCGTATATATATGAATGAGACCAAATCAAGTTCACAAAATAAAAAATAAAAAATACGTTAAACAGGATATGCAAGTCTTTTTATTCAAAACTTGTATCAAACACGAACATTTTTAAATATATTGTAGAATTGGGTGAATTGCATATGACAATGAAAAATGCGAGTTGTCGATCCTTTAATTTACAAAAAAGCTTTCTTTAATCCCGTACGCATGACCATCGCAAAAGTGGTATGCGTATGATATATGCGGTGCATCTAAAATTATACAATCGATCCTCAGTTTGCGACAAACTATCAGTAATGTATTGGTCATTGTTCTGGGAGTCTTGTGATATGTGATGTCAAATGGTCAGTGTTCTTGAGCCAAGATGGTCAGTGATGCATGGTTATGCATGATGAAACCTGATCTTGCAATAAAAAAAAGATGTAATCTGGGAATGGGGGAGAGATCTGCAATTGCGGGGCGACATATCTTGATCGCATTCCATTCTACCCCGTCGAATACAGTACATATACAGTATATATTAAGAAAAAAAGTCCGTTCACACAATCCATAATATTCCGAGGAATTCCCGTCTGCCGTCAGTGCGCGAAAAAAATTTTTTTTTTTCACAGTCTGTGGGTGGGATGTTTATTCTACGGAGGTGACGGGGGGTGTGATTAGGGCCTCGGGTGATTGCCATCGACATCCGACTGACGACTACAGATAACGAGATAACACGCAGATTTGACAAAAAATTAGATTTTAAGCCATGTCCTATGTTTAATACATTGTGTATGATTAGCATTTGTTTAGATAATAAAAACACATTCGAGAAATTAAATGATTCGTGTAGTTAATTTAAGAAATAGGAAGGTGAATATATGATTAAACGATAGTGTAAAATTACTTTAAGAAAGTTGGCGTCTCTATTAGGCCCATATTAGTTAGCCTATTCAATGTTAACTATACAAAGCCTAATTTCTTCACGCTGGGTACACACAGATGCCAATCAGCCAAGATACCTATATGCTGCATGCTTGGGTTACACACAGGATTTGCTTGCTCGCTTGTCACCAAAGAATTATCACCGAGAATTGTCACCGTCCATCAATCAATCCCTGTTTACGAACACGTTTCTACGTTTTGAAAAAAAAAAAAAAAAAAAAACCCACCCCCACCATAATTAACACTTGAACTAGTTTTGTGCGGCGTTGCTTAAACGTTTTAATGACCCTTATTATATGAGGGATACATCATATCGTGCATATGCGGTTCCACGGAGAAATTTTCTCTTCAACTTCACAGGGGAACCTTGCATCTACCGTAACGCGAGTGCATTGTGGTCGTCATGAGAAATATGTGTATATTTTTCTTTTGGTTATGTCATTGGCCGATTGCCTAAAAGAACAATGTAGGGCGCTTTGTATTTTGCTTACAGAAAAAAGTCATGTTTCTAAAAAATCGAAAATTAGATTAAGAATCTTCAAAAAAGGAAAGACGTGGTTCTGCGAGAGAGCCTGGTCAATATTTTATGGAAACTTTTAATTAATTGGTTACCAATTAAATTAATTAATGATTGCCTATTTACAGTATAACAATATCACAAGTCTTGGGGGTCTTCTTTTGCGTGAACGAGAACATGAAAATCTTTCTTGCGCTTTGCTTTCGATATGACAGGGAAAACGTGATATTCCGCGGAAAATTGAAACGTGCGATTTTAATCGCCGCTGATAGGTTAAGGATCTAATGAATACGTATAGCGCGTTCTGACACGATCATCACGTGACCATGAGACACGAAAGAATTGGCGCCTTTCCCTTTCCATGATGGATACACGAGGAAGATATTCGTTCGCTTTTCAATTACACACCTAAAGTAACTAGTAAAAAACACATGGTTTGTGATAAGAACGCATGTACAGCCTATCTGAGGACATAACGTAAAGGTCACATCCTTCTTCCCATTTGCGTGTCTGAGTAAATTGCTTTCGCCTTTTGCTATGGCGTCATGCAAGTGACTACTTCGGGGTTGGCTCGATTCCCATTTAATGGTGCGTGTAACGAGAAAACGCGTGCGTAAGTAATGTAAGTGATGTGTGCAAGATGCATTGCGGTCAATAAAGGAAATGGCTTCGATGAAAGACAAAGAAATATCAAGGAATGGAAACATTGAGAATAATAAAAATGGAGGATTGATTATTCGTGGAGAGGAATTCGCTTAACTCGTTTCATTTGAGCTGGCGCGAGAGTGACACAACAAATTAACGTGTCCGAGCGAAAAACCTGTCGTTACAATGAGGGAATGCAGCATTCCACGTAGATGCAGGGCTTTGGCGTCGCGCTGATAGACGTCAAATGGGATGGTTCTAATTAAAAAAAGCTAATTCAATCAACTTAACCTTTACTGCAACGACAATTCATTGTGTTTCCGTCGAAATCGACACAACATTCAGCCAGCCATCTACGCCAATCGAATGGATGATGGTTCGTGATAGATCGATCGATCAGCGAACAATTTCGGAGCATGAAAGTTTTCTTCCCTGAGAAATCTTGAGAAATCTGGAGAAACCTGGAGAATTCGAATCTGCCCATGTCCCCCCCTCAAATCCAAATCACCTCACCTCACCGTGTGCTACTACAACTCACCGTGACTTAGCCATAATTGTTAAAGTAAAATTTACGCATCACCCATAATGGGTCTATGATCATTATACCGACAGGATTTTTTCTAACGTCTGACGTTCGGCATGTGCGATTTGATTGTGGGTAAACAATTGTGGTGTCTGCATTGGGTACCGATTCTTTTGTTGCGATTGTTTGTTTATCCAACCTTTTAGGCGGTGTGTGAATTTTTTCGTTACAACAAATAAATCAAGAATCGAGATTAAGGAAAAAATGAGATAACGCCAAATACTCCGAATTTAACAAGCTCGGAATGAACGTCAACAATAAGCTAGCGTCTTTTGAAATAATAGTTGTCAGAGTGTAGACATACACGCACATAATTGTCGCCCCTCCTTCCTTCTTTCTTTCTTGCGGCGCACCACGATGGTTCGTATTACGACATTTACTCGTCTGTTTTGTTTATCTAATGATGCAATCACAATTTTTTTTTTTTTTTTTTTTCAGCCTTTGTCTTTGTCTCTCGCGTTGTGCAGTGGGATTTGATTTTGTGAAAAAAAAAAAAAAAAATTCTCAGGAATTCATTCGTTCATTAATTCATTAATTCATTCAATTCATTCAATTTAATTTAATTTAATTCAATTGAAAATCAACTGGTCGAAGATGGATGTGTCAAAAATGTGATGTTTGATGTTCAACTATCTTCTACATTTCAATTGATTATCATTTAACAATGAATCCGTTCGACGGAAACCTTAAATGTGCGCCTCTTTTGATGAGGTAAGGTCAGATCAAATTCCAAAGGGAATAAACAAAAAATTTTTTTTTCAGAACAAGGGCGAGAAGAACAATTATTATTCCCGATATAGAAATATTAAAACCGGGAGATGACACCGACCATCCCTTTTATGAGCATTTGTTGATTTAGGGTGTGGCGAGTTTTTTTGAGATTTTTTGACACTTTTATTGGTACCAAGGATAAATGGTCATTGTCACTCTATATGCGGTTAAAAAATGCATCGGGCTGTCAACATTGATGTTAGCTGATGTTGTTCGACCTCTTGCTTCTTTTGCTTATTAAATCGCGCGAAATGGTGTGGATTGAGAATGCGTCTAAGCAGAAAAGGTGTTATATGCCTGTTATCGTGCACGCATGAATCGAGACGAGATTTTTTTTTTTTTTTTTTCTCAAGCGTGCGTGCATCTGTCTGTCGCCTCCGCGCATAGTTGATCACTGAGCTTTGATATGTTGAAGGTGCATTGAGGTTTCTCGTATTATGCTCAGGCACCTTCACTGCGACCACCATTGTTCGGTTCACTCGATTCGATGTGTCAAAATCGGAAGAATCCGACACATGACACGTTGAGATGGGAAAGTGCGTTTCTCAGTACATGAGGTTATCACTTTTCCGAATTTTATTATTAATAATTTGATTTCAAGACAATTGGCATGTATTCCCTGGTATCTGACGCCATGTTTCTCAGGGTAATAATACTCCCTTATCTGAGAATTCCCGTAATTGTTATGCCTCGAAAGGTTCGTGTAACCATCACACGGTCTTTATTCACGTGTCATAAAAACATTGACCGCGAATCATGATACCCTGTTAGGTGAAATGCTTGTTATGTCACCTGAATGATTAAATGATTAAAAATTTTAAAACGGAGTTAAGTTCACGACTATTGTGCACGTAAACGTGGCCTTTTAAAGTTCATTGGTCGACCGAGTCAATGCATATGGTCAAATGTGTTTGTATCTTTGGGCATGTTTGTTTGGTGGTTAACCAATGCATTTGCTCAGGCATTGCTGAATGGTCCATAGCGATGACGCGAAAAAAAGAAACAACGAAATGCATCCAAGAACATTGATCTTCGCGATGTCAACAATATGATGATAGTGCAATTTCATTAAACTTAACCTTTGTTGATTATCATTATTTTTTTTATTTTTTTTCCTGCATTCCATATGCCAGGTGTATCAACCTTTCATGCTTACAAAATTAGCCATGTAATATACAAGATTATTTTACACCTCCATTGTTATCCGTACAGGAAATGAGGCTTTAATGTTTGAACGAGGCTCAATCCACCTAAAAGGATAGGTAGGTGTAAACAGAGAGCACGCATGCAAACAGTAGCATGAGATTTCGGATAATAAAGTCATTTTATCTCGAATTAGGTTTTTACTAATATTATCTTATCAGCATTATTATTTTTGTTATTTTGTTGTTGTTATTCAGATCCAAGATCGCGAATGAATGAATGCATCCCGATTTTGGAAAGGTATTGTGTTGAGGAACACTGAGACGTGGTATCTTTGGTCATATTAATGTTTGCGGTGAATCAGGTCGTCCCCTTCGCGCAATTGAAAATCCCAAATTTTTTTTTAAAGTTCACTCGCGGAACAACGATGATAATAACGTTTAACGTGCATTGTTAACCTTGATCAATGGAAACCCAAAAAAAGAATGTTAACTCGTCAACATCACCCCAAAGTTTTATTAGCAAACCTTAGCCAACACAAACAAATAAGCATTCGGGCTAAAACAAAAGGTACATTGTTTGAAATTTTTTGATTGGTCAATTTCTTAACACTAATTATCTGATCGGATGATGTATTATACATAATGATTGTTACGATAACACCTGCTAGAATGCTTACATTGTGTTGTGACTGTGGTACCATTTATTGATATGCGTCATTTTTGTTAAGTGCGACAAGTATAAACCGGTAATTGTTAGAACGTTGGATGCGTGGAAGAAAAGAAGCTTTCGACCTTTGGAGAAAGAAAATGGGAGCATTGAGTTATTGTTATTTGGTACCGTGTCAACCAGGCAATCGAGAAACAAGGGATCACCGGTGTTTTTCTTCATCTTCGTCGACACCTTCTACAGTACCTTCGGCTGATGACAATCATCTGTTTGTATGCGTCACTCGACTTTGGCACTATCGACCGAATGAACCGAGAATTTTCCTATTACCGAACGGTGGTCTTCCTTCTCCATGGAGAATGCCCGTGCAAATTACCAAAAAAAAAAGCGAGATTGCACAAAAAAAAAAAAACAAAGTAAATCCATAAACAAACAGAAAATCACAAAAATTAACAAACAAATGACACAAGGTTTAAACCTAGATCGAGGAAGTTTTCACTTGCTATGAAGAGAAATAAGGGTACAAAACGCACACAAACAATATACTTTCCGAACGTGACCATTGAATTCGATACCTAACACTAGGGAAAAATTGCATATTATGAGATTCAGATGATCGATGGATCATTACCACTTTATTTATTAAATTTTGCCAGGAAAAAGGAAAATAAAAACAAAAAATCCGGTTACTAAGAACAATCACTCGCATATACCTAGAGCGTAGAAGTTGAACCTTTAAAAAATATATATCTAGATCGGAGCGAGGCGAGCCTTCGTGTCCTGTGATCCCTAAATTTCACGTCCTGCCCTTTGTGACAAAACCTAACCAACATGAATATGTGACATAACCTTATTGGTCGGTGATTCTGAAAATCCTTGTTACAGTCATAGATCATTCAATTTCCTCTTTTAAATGTTAAATTAAGAAATCCTTATGTCAGCAGGTAACCATGAGCGTATATGATCAACAGAATGACGAGAGATTAGGTAACTGTAAAAATATAGCTTTTGTAAGTTATTACGTATTCACGACTACCTATACGCATGTATTCACATCTATTCGCCTAGAAACGGGACCTCAAAGAAGAACGTCTCACACATACAGGACACGTTATCGGGGTATCTCCCACTGCGTTCAGGGTGCGCATTTTTCGTTAGCGGATCGGCTACCGAAAGTCATCATCGTACATCAAGTGTTTCAGCTAAGAAACTCTGCAGCCAAACATCGATGAACGCAGATAATAATCCTGCGATGAAAGGAATAGAATGAATGTTCCATAAAGGATTCCATTCTACCATTGATTTCGACTTAATTTAACAGGGAATTTCGATGATCCAAGATACGGCAATCTTAGGAAGAGCACTCGATAATCCAGTCGCGTTGCGCTTAAATGTTTTGATCATGCTCAGGTGTATGTGTTGATGACGAAATGTGACTTCGGTTAAATTGGGGATGACACAAATCGCAAAAAATGGAACTTTGTGTAATTGTGCTAACGAAAAATGCGGAAATTTTTGCCATTACCGAACTCATTGGACGCTCATAGTGCTTTGACTTCGTCTAAAAAAGTTCGATGCAAACACACGAGCCATACACACCCTTCCTCTGAATCACGCTAAACTCGATGATAAACAAAATATCCCATTAACACCTAATTTGTGTTCGCATGCGTTCACACATCGTAAATGTCCTGTGAATGGTAATGAGAATATCCGTTTGCACGCCGGTGGCACGTACGTGTCAAATGATGAACGGTCAGGGGAGTCACGACGACGAGCTTCATCCAAGTGTGGAAAGCGTAAGGCCTCTTTGTTCGATACCAACGATTCAAAGAAGTTGAACACAGACATCAGAAAAACAACAGAGAACAAAAGAATATGCGTACCTGGATTAAGAAGGAAACATTTTGTGCCAATTACTTTTACAGGAAATTGTATGCAAATGTGATGTGAGAAAACAAACAGATACGCGTGCGCACACGAAGGCAACCATGCAATGCAAATATGACTAAAAAACAAACAAGACAAAAGAAAAACAATATCGCGTGTGACTTTTCTGATATTCTTTCGATCAATCCCTATTCCTTTGTTTCATTGTCAGTTGGTCCTTCGAGACAACCCACGGATGAATGGGTCAGATACATACTAAGAATAAAATGGAATGTGATACAAATTCTTGGATGCAAAAATCAATAATGACAAATCTCAAATCGAATCGATAACATTACCAACGTCGAAACGAGAGATTTCGCGTTATCACGTATCTTACAATTTGATATTAATGAACCGTGAAAAAAGGAAAGATCGCGGCGCCAGACCTCTGCCAGATGAAACCCAAAGAAACAAAATTAGGTTATTCAATGATTGAATGTTTGAAGGAGAAAACCTAATTTCTATGTAACACGACTAAAGTATGCTGAGATGTCACCTTTATTTGCCGTTGAGATGTATAGCACTCTTTATAGAGGATGGATGAGAAATTATTCTTGAACTGAAACCTGTATCATCGTCAGATCGAATGTAGATGTACAAGGCAGAAAGAAGCAGTGACACATTCTCTCACGGATGAACATTCCACATCAACCGGAAAGAAGCCATATAAAGAATAAGAAGAAAAGAATATTTGTAGGTGTTTACTCCGACCTACATGAGGTAGACGATTGGTGCGAGATAGTTCGGCCCCCGATCATCCGAATACATGCGGTGAAAACGGGCCTATGTTACGAAAATGTTATTATCAATCTCATATAATATCAATAATGCTATTATCAATCTCATATAATACCAATAATGCTACAAGGGGTATTATTAGGTTAACAACAACAAGGACAATACAAAATCCATAATGATCTACGTTACCAGGTTTCCATTGTTTTTTTTATTATTCGTGCAATATATATGGTATATATATTATATTATATTATATTACGTGCGTTTCGTAAGATGTGCTTTTTTATTATCTGTTATACAATATGTACGTAATATAAATAACCTAATGAAACTTTGAATTTTCCAAAACGTATCACAATTGTCATGTGGCATTCATTAAGTTAAGGTTTTAAGCAAGCATAATAATAGCAAATTGATAATTAAACGAAAGTAAATAAACAAAGCTGTTGAATTCAACATTTACCTCGGTAAATTAGGTGACGCAGTTGAAAAACAAATAATAAGGTTCTTGGTGACAATTTTTATTCGTCATCTTATTCCACAAGCTGCCTCCTTGATATCGTTGTTGACGAGTCGTGCATTCATTCATGCATTTCATCAAACATCACACAGTCACCAGGGTGAGTGAGATATCCGTTTTTGTCCCGTCGAAATAACGATCGAGGGACGATGGTCTTCTGTCTCTCGACGTCTCGACAAATGTTTTTATTAGTGAAATTTCAAATTCATAACAAAATAATCAATGCTCAAGTGTTAGGTTATCTATTTTTGCAGGGTGTCTAACCGCTGTTGTCATCCATTGAGCCGGGATGATCTTTGCTTATCGCAATTATTTAATTATTCAGGGATGTGGTACACGCGTGATAACAACGATAATCTTTAACCTTTGCCACGTGAAAGCTCACCGGAATTCCCTGATATCCGCCAATCAACATCGATCGTTGTTTACTTGGATATTCGGGTAGCTCTCATCGCAAACCTAAAATTTCTTTACGTTTTTCCCGAATTGTTGTTATACGAGTCAGTTACGTGTCCGTGATGTGAATTCTTCAAAGACATCTATCTCATCTCACATTTAGCAATAATAAATTCCGTGATTCCGAAATTTTCTTTGTTGAAGAAAAACGAGATAAATAAGTACAATAAGGTTCTAATTCTGCGGTGGTGATACATTTGTGCTACGGGTTCTAATACTGCACACACATTAGTAATAGCATCCAAAGTTTACAGTTTATTAAACTCAAAATACCAGTTATTTCCGTATCTTACCAAACATTAAAAAATCTTTTTTTTTTTCCTTTCTTTCTTTTAATCAAATCTCAATTCGGCTTCATTCATTCGAAATACCTGTTTTTGCACCAAACGAAATTAGCGTTGTGGTTTGATGAATAACGTGATTTTAATAAATTCATCAAACTCTTCACATACCTCTCGGATGTATGCACACAATTTGGCAAAAATTAAACCTTAACCGTTTTTTTCCGAGATTTACCGCATCTTCCAACAAACATCCATTATTTACTGCAACTGTTGTTCTATAGAAACCAAGTTGTGCAATTCTCATTATCACGATATCATCATCTTTTGGCAAACACAAAATCAAGCGAAAAAGGTATCATTCGGTGATGGCAATGGGTGATATCTGATAAACTTGCTCCTATTCGAAGAGGTTACACCGCTTGAGGACACTGGTGACATTACGAGATAAAAGGGTTCGGAGTATTTCATTTCAATTCTGGGCATCCGAATAAGCCCAAATCGGGGAAGTCTTACAATCGTACGACTGTTCCTTGATGATATTAGATATCGCAAGTGCACCGGAAACCCGTTCCGTTCGACCCTTCTCAAGCTACCCCTTTTTGCGTAAAGCTCTTATCAATTTTTTTTCTCACCAACAATGACAACACAAGATCTCTGTGATAAATAAAAAACATCTGAACTTTGTATACGTAATTTAATGCTGTTTTACTAAAACGTACGCTAATAATCCCCGATAATTCACTCCCGGAGTACAAAATTTCAAATTGTTACGCCGATTAAATCATCAATAGGTCCGAGAAAGTAAATTGTACACGGAATCGTGATCTCTCTCCACATCTCGTCTTAATCCATAAACACCCCGCAACACACTGACGTCGGTCCGTTCGCTCTAAATTCCGCAACACCTTTGCTCCACCAATCACATCCATTGGCATAATAAATACCATTATGGTAAAGAAATGAATCTACGAAAAAATCGAATTCTTTATTTTCGTTCCCATGAAACGGTCACATCTACCTTCGTCGTGTCACACACGCATAAAACTTTCTGACGATTCATCGACAACGTGCACGTATTAAGCAATGGCATAAAAATTTTGTCATCAACCATTCTAGATACACCTGGATATTTCTTTTTCTATTTTTATTATTTTTTTTTTTGATCTAACGATTTTTGATTGGTGCACAGGGAATCGTATAGATCAGATTTGGGGAACCCATTGTTGGATGGTGACGAGTATGATGGTCGATTCATGAAGAGAATGTAGGGGAAGTTGTGTCTCAAAACCAAACCTCATTCAGTCGTTCGTTCATTCTCGTTTCCATGTTATCACGAGAGTGTCTGACCAATGTGATTGACTCGAATTCGGTAATACCTAATTTTTCACATACTGCAACACACGCATGTAGATGAGAATGATGACCAAAAAGTCATTTGTGGATACGCCCATACGTTTATTGCTCGCTCAACAACAAAAAATGATCGGCGACGTATTCACATGTCAGTCTCTATGCCAGTATTAACAAACATTATTGAAAAAAACTTGGTTCACCAAAAAAGGTCCTACTAATTCGATTTCAGAAATTGGCACCACCTGGTCTATACGCAATTGACGATTCTAGGTGCAAAGACCACCTTTGAAAATCGAGGTGATCCATAGCCGGTCCTTCGTTTTCACGAGATTTTCTCTTCCATGAGCAAGACCTAAGGTATCCTGCTATACTTTTCCCTTGGGTCTCTCGTCTGTCTGTCTGTCTGTCCTTCCTTCTTTCTTTCTTTCTTTCTTTCTTCTTGATGCTATGTAAACAAAACCGTTTGACGCACGAGGTCTTTACATGAATAAGAAACAATCAATAAATTATGTGCAAACAACAAATATATATGCATCATTTCTTAACCAAAATTTTGCTCTTTATAACCGAATATTCTGTCCTCTTATTTGTTCGTGCCTACATCTGTTGCTCGATTTTCCGGCAGGAATAAACAAAAACAAAAATTTAAGAAAAAAAATAAAGCGTGAAAATTTATGATAATGATACCTAAACGATGCTCTTTCAGATGAGTTGCTATATCCCACGGTACACGCGCATGCGCCCAAGTTTGGTAGCTTGTGATTTTGGCCGGTTCGAAAAATTTTTTTGCCTGCATTAAGCATTACATTCTTGGTTTCCTCAATTCGTTATCTCACCTATATGTTTGGTCACTCCTTTATTTTTGCATGGCCAATAGAGGCCCTGCATATACTGTATGCAAAACATTACGAACAATGAGAACTTTTCTAAACCTTTCTTCAGTACATCACAAACAAATAAACTCTAAGTAATGAAAAGCTCGCTCAAACATTGAATTACGATTGGATGAAAATATCAAACGATGAGATTTAGGAAACAAATCTCTAAAGATTCGACGGCGAGCAAAACAATTCGGTGTGAAGCTTTTTAGATGAAACCGCATTATCACCAAACTTTTATCATCCATCATAAACTCAGAGGTCGTGATGTAATTCAACGGTCTTTTGTTTACTTTTGCCCTTCTCAAGCGATAAAGAGTCCTCATTAAGCATAATGCCATATGATATGACGATTTCAAGCTTTGCTTGTATACCTGTAGCTACATGCATTAGATTAGGAAACCGTTAACCACAACCATCCCATGAGGGCGCAACCACGACAGATGAACGATTACACCGTCGTATGCACGCTGTTCCGAGATGAAAGAGTTCGGAATCGAGTTCGACAAAAATTTCGTCGTGTGACATCCTCTGATTGAAAATGGGGGTTAAACGCATATCAATACGCCCATAGATGTCATACCGATTGTTGATGCTGTAACTATGTAATAGGCGCAAAGAATCCCCGGGAGAAAAGCGACGCACTGATGTTAACATTGGGAATTTCCTGTTTGGCTGAGACCTTTACGTAAATTTTAATATTTCCAATGTAAGCAGTCTATACGGTGAATAAAATTGCAATCTTATCACGTGTCCATACTGCTGGAAGGAGTACCACGTCATTGTGATATTTTTTCCAGATTGAATCTCGATCGTAAGATTCAAATTCTCATTTCTTTATCAACATCATGTAATCGTAATGGAATTGCAAATCAAGTCCTAACTTCTAATCTCGTTTTACCAGAAGAGTTGTTGAAAAAAAAAAAAAAAAAAAGGTTAAATATTA